ATTAACCTATGACACTGACACATTGACCTACTTCTAATGACTTCGATTGTCTATATACATAAGTAATAAAAGCCTACAATGTTAAAAGAACAAAGAACTACTCTAGGTTGGCTGTAAACATAAACATCGTCAGGCACACTTATCCTAATCTGTCAAATAACAAATATTACGTGAGTACAAAAATACAAAATAAAAACAACACGGATGCTGCTCAGTAACACCTGATTGAATGCGACGTTTCTTAGTCGTATTTCCGAGCGTAATCCTACCAGAGTCGGATTGGCCCTTGCCAAGTGCGTTTTTCTTGAAAGTTGTGAATTTTCGGACCACCAAACATTAACTTAATTTTATGATTTTATAGTGTCCCATCACCTCCTGCAAGATTGCTACTTATTTGATAAAGACTGTGTAGATATGAGACTTATTTAAGTTAGCAGACGTTCTAGAAAATTCATTACAATATGGTGGTTTACTGACATGAGTATTGTTAACATTGTTCCTTTTCCTGTAAGCTCTTTACTTACTTGCTAATCTCTAATTGTTTGATAATAGATGTCAGAAAAAATTATTATTCAAAATGGTTCATGTTCAATTTCTGTACTGTTTGTGATAATAATAAACAGATTAATTGATTTACCTTAAGGAAAATTGATACATGTACGCATATTGCCCTTCGAAGGATTTTGTTTAAAACCATGTACAAATAGTAGCAATATTTTCTGGGAGCGTGCTCGCTTTAAAACAAATCCATCTCTCGCCGACGCCCATGGCGTCCTGACTCACATCTTCTGCCAGCACTTGGGCCCGTCGCGTCTGAGTTCTCGTTGCAATGAGTAATGAAGTTAACTCAACCTAAATTGTTCACCTTTGTCGTGTTAAATCTTTCTGTTGCGATCAAAATCCTATAGGTACAGATAATACAATACAAATTTCTTCCATATTCCTATTGGTATTAGTGTTCCATTGCAAGAAGTGTATGTGAGTGACATAATAACCTTTAAATCAGAGCTCCAGCAGGAATACATGTGAAATAATTGATTTTCTTTTATTTCTAGGCAGATTCACAGACCAGCGAGTGCAACTAGTAATATGTGGCCTCCAGGAAAAATAACGGAACAGAAGGGCGACGGAAATCTAAACCAGGTGATCGTATTGATTTATCGTCTCTATTTCTTTCTATTCCTATACCCCACCCTTATTATATCACAATGTTTTATTAGATTATTTAGCTCATGTCGCAAAACAAAGAAAATCTCAATATGATTATCTTTGTTTTTTAAGTAGGTATAAAGCACATGGCACCAACATGTTTCTATCACACTTTTGACCGATCGCACTTTTATTATTGTAAAATTTACTTTAATGAAGTAGTCTTAAGTTTAGGCACTTATATCGTTTCATAAAACAAGGTAGTTCATTGTTGTAATCTAATCGATCATTCTTTAAGTCGCTTCCTTTCACAAAATTACAGGATTACCTGAGTGCTGACGACGAAAATACTTCAGGAAATCGGACCAGGAGACATTCAAGTCCTGGACAGAGCAGATCAGGGAGTACCAATGCCTTACATCAACAGGAATATTCTGATTCGGTAAGTTTTTGTTATACAGCTATTTAATTGATTCTCCTGCTAAAGAACAGGCATCAGTTCTTGTTTTATGATACAGCCTTCAATATTTTGATATGTACCGTTCATTATATTTAATCTTTATGATTTATTTTACGGTTTAAATATAATCGTGAAGTGGTTAAAATTTGCGTAACACGGATTTCAAACAGTCATCATGCATTATAACGACCCGAGGGTCAGAAGGGAATGCGAAAGAGCGGTGAGAGCAAATAGCATGGTGCAAGTCAGTTTTTGAAAAACGATTAATGCTGATACAGATTTGTAGTCGTAATCCCCCTTAAATTTGTTTTTAAAATAATAATTATTATCATTAAATAAAAACGTATTTAAAGTTGTAAATTATCACCAAAACGTCAGGTGAAGGTCCTTGTCGTTATGACATCAAAACACTGTATTTAAAACTTTCTTTTGGTTAATAAAGATGTACAGCTCGGCCTAAGTATCTGTAGCCGCGACAGAGGTATGTGCAGTGGTAAAGTGGAAGGGATATAACTATTTTAGATCTCCTTTTGTTTAAACTTGTTGAGTAGTAATCATCGTGTACAGTCTGCATAGAATCAGTGCAATACGAAATGACCAATATCGCAGGCGGCGTCGAAATCAGGTTTATTTGTTCTTCTGACTGTATATAGTCCAAGAAGGTTCCGAAAAGCATTTCGATCACTCTACTCGCTTTCGCTCTTTTTGTTTGAGAATCGTTGGTCGAGCTGTACAAGAATGCAATGCAAATAAAATAAACGAAACAACTGATAGGCTAGGGACTAGGACTAGAGACAAAAAGAAAAGGAATATTGCAATAGCAGTTGCGTTAAAGGGGTTTTATGATTGATTATGGTAGTTTAACCTCTTAAGTTGTTAAAACCATAATGTGTCATTTTTTTAAATAACTCAAAACTAAGCAATTTTCATGATTTTTACTAGTTTTTTTTAAAAAAATTGGATTTTTCATCGAAATACTTTATTTAATTTTCTTTTTATCATTTTTAGCATCGAACATAATGAAGTAGAAAATTTCAAATAAAATCGCCGTTTTCATTTTTTTTTTCAGTTCATCGTCTACAACTTTTTTCCTGGGTAATTTAGATATATATAAATGTTCAGAGAAAAGATAGCCCTTAAGAAAACACACCTTTTCTTTTATTTTTTTTTTGTACGATAAAAATTCACCGAGATATCAATACTCTAAATTGCCTACTTTATTATATATTCCACCTTATTTTGTAGCAATCGTGTTCTTTTTTAATTTTTTTAATTTCGATATACCTGCTCATTTTTTTTTTACTATGAAACACTTTTAGCATAAACTATTAATAACAATTTTCGAAAAAAATTGTTAAAAGTGTATATCTGGAGCACGTTTCTGTAAGAGAACGAAATGCGAACGGTGAGCATGGTCGAAAAGAAAAAACTAGATTTAGAAATTCGGTGTTACAGGCGAATAATGAGGTTATTTTTGATATAAAAGGTTAGAAAAAAAGAAGTTATTAGGAAGAGTGGGAGAACTATGGAAGTAAATAAGAAATAGGCGAGATAGGTTGTTAGGAGACCTTCTAAGATAAGAAGACCTAGTTAAAAACATATTACAAGCATAAACAGGAGCTAAGAGGAATGTGCGTAGATCTAGATAAGATTACTGTTCGTAAATAGTTAAAGATGTGGGATGTTCTAGTTTTAAGGAAATGTGAAGGTTCGCTTACGATAGGAAAACGTAGAGGTGCGTGTCCAACCAATCTTACCACTAACGACTTATGATGATGACGAGTAACAAAATGAGTATTAGATACATCGAAAATTGAAAAAAACATGTTTGCGATAAAACAGGCTAAAATATGATGAAAGGTAGGTAACTTTGAGCATCGATATGTGGGTAAATTTTCATCATACAAAAAAGAATAACAGATGGGTTTTTTAAGGACTATCTTTCCTCTGAACATTTATACTCAACTAAATTGCCCAGGAAAAAAGTTATAGAGACCAGCGAGTGCAACTAGTAATATGTGGCCTCCAGGAAAAATAACGGAACAGAAGGGCGACGGAAATCTAAACCAGGTGATCGTATTGATTTATCGTCTCTATTTCTTTCTATTCCTATACCCCACCCTTATTATATCACAATGTTTTATTAGATTATTTAGCTCATGTCGCAAAACAAAGAAAATCTCAATATGATTATCTTTGTTTTTTAAGTAGGTATAAAGCACATGGCACCAACATGTTTCTATCACACTTTTGACCGATCGCACTTTTATTATTGTAAAATTTACTTTAATGAAGTAGTCTTAAGTTTAGGCACTTATATCGTTTCATAAAACAAGGTAGTTCATTGTTGTAATCTAATCGATCATTCTTTAAGTCGCTTCCTTTCACAAAATTACAGGATTACCTGAGTGCTGACGACGAAAATACTTCAGGAAATCGGACCAGGAGACATTCAAGTCCTGGACAGAGCAGATCAGGGAGTACCAATGCCTTACATCAACAGGAATATTCTGATTCGGTAAGTTTTTGTTATACAGCTATTTAATTGATTCTCCTGCTAAAGAACAGGCATCAGTNTGGTCTTAAAGAACAATGCGATAGGCATTTGAACATTATGTAAACATGTGAATTTCTGTATCGATTAAAACTTGGATGCGGAAGCCGTTTTGCATGAACGATGTCTTTGTCGACATAATTAAATAAGTTACAGTAGAGTGCAAGCAGTGTACATGTAAACGGTTGAATAGGTAGCACACAGAATAGGTAAGATAACTGTAGTAACCCTTGCATTAATTATATGAAAGTACGATTGACTTCCTGCTCTTGTGTAACAATTATCCGGATGCGTTGTGGCAGTTTTACTACAATAAGCTCAGAAATAATGTCACTAAATATTTACAATGCAGTGTCTATGCACATTACTACGATATCTATTGCCATGTATTTAGACACAAACAATAAAATAAGTTGTTTAGCTTTTAACTTTAATAAAGAAATAAAATGTAGCATAGTAATTGTTAATGTAAATGTATTTGAGAAACATCCAAATATCAAATTCCGTTTGCAGTGTTGCAACCTCATGGACTATGTCAAGTCCATTTGAAAATAAAGTAGTACTGTGGACTTTAAAATGTAATACAATCAAACAATAAGGCTTACAAAAGTTAGTTGCCGAATCTTTACTTGATAAAAGTCTAGTTGAATCTGTGTTCTTTACATGACAAGAATCTAATTGAATCTCTGTGGTCTTTACATGACAAAAGTTTAGTTGAATCTCTATTTCTAACGCTCAAGAAAAAGGGGTTTTTACACCTATAATTTTACGGACCTTACATTAATTAATTCTAGTTGTTGACGTGCACAAATATTGGAATAATACCTTTTATGATACTAAAACTCATAGATAATAGTTTTCTAGAATATTTCGCATGCTTAGTATATTTAGATCATCATCATTATCATCATCATCATAAGGTCTATCTATCTATCTTTCCTATCCAGATCTAAACTTCGCATTTCCCTAAAACTAAATAGAACAACCCACATCCTTAACTATTTGCGAACAGTAATCTAACCTAGGTCTACCCCTACCCTTCCTAACTCCTGTTTCTGTCTCTACTATGTCTTTGACTAGAGTTTCATGCCTGAGAAGGTGTCCTATCTCGCCTATTTCTTATTGAGTTCCATTGGGTTCCTCTGTTCTTCTATTCTTTCTAGTATCTCTTCATTTCTAATCTTTTCTACCCACGTTATCCTCATCATTTGCCTGTAACACCACATTTCGAACTCTTATAACCTTTTCTTTTCCGCCGCGCCCACTGTCCATGTTTCGCACCCGTACAGCGCCGCATTCCAAACATACACCTTTAACAATCTTTTTCGAATTTCTAAATTAAGCGATCGCGAGCATAGAAGTGACTTCTTTTTATTAAAGGTGACACAACCCTGCGCTATCCTCTGCTTTATATCCCTACTACTCCTTTCATCCTGATTTATCTGACTTCCTAGATATCTAAAATCAGTCAAAAAAAATATATTATCAAGAAATACATTTCATGACTTAATAGTCCTATATAAAATGCAACAACTGGTTTCGGCTTATTTTTAATGATTTCCTGTAAAATTGAACAGTTGGGGAAATGTGTATTAGTTAATCATTAATGGTTATGCTCAAGGTTAATAAAGTATACTGCATGTAGTTTAATATAGTTGAGACTATCGAAATTGGGAATAAATTATTTGTGAGAATGGACGTATCTCCTTTCTTGTTTCCACTTGGGACTGTAGTCATTTGCTGCGTTTTGAACACGTCCTTGTTAAGTTATGCTTAAAGCGTCTTTACTTTTCTGAATTCCTGAGAATGTTGAACTTTCATTAAAGTCCAATGCTGGCAACGTGCTCAAATTCTGCTTATTTGCATCTCCTTCTGTTACACATTAATTGGTGTAAAGTTATTCCTTTTTCTTTATTAGTATCCGCTGCATATCCTAGTTAATATCTCTTTTCTATTCACGATATTTCCTACGTCTGCCGTGAGTAAAAGTAGGCGCTCTGTCAGCAACCGCTCTAGTCTATTTAGTAATTTGAAATAAGAAAGTAATTGCGACAATTTTATAGGGAACTAGGTATGCCACTTTTGAACGTCTTAACTGTACTCCCCTGATAGGAATACTGAAGAAAGAGGGTTGCAATTGTTATACCTAATAAAACTGCCTACTTTTGACACCACGTATCCACGCCATTTTAAAATTTCCGCCGGCTTCGAGCGTCAGGTCTGTACTTCCTTGGTGTAAGTTAACCTTGTGATTACTTTTACTAGTTATTTTTTGGCCTATTTTGTCCAATATTAAGACGTTAAACTATGTTTCCTAGTTTGTTAATTCTAAAATTGTTTTAAGGAAAATAGAACTACATCCCTTCGTAAAACTAGTAAATTGCTTCAATTAATTTGTTGAACCCCTTCAGATTTGGATGGATAGGTGCCGTTGTATACCACTTATATTTTAATTTCTACTACTCGTACCAAAACCTAGCCTTACAATAGAGTAATTTAGATATAAAAAGTAGCTAGAAGTTAGAAATCTGAAAGGACCACGCACTAATCGAAACCGTCTGGATTTTTCATATTATTGCCCTCAAAATTCCGATCAAAAAACACAACCTTTCTTACTGCATATTTTTGCCGCTTGAAGGTATCTTGTCTCCAGAGTTTAGTTACAAGTCA